AATTTTCAGATCAAATTTAAAAATGATATACCAAAAAAAAAAAAAAAAAGGAGAACAATTAGTATCAAAGATAAGTGAGAAAAATTTCTACTACTACTAACAATAATAGTCTATGATGAAAACGTGTTTAACTATTTTTCAGTGCCTAGGTCATGGATGGTATCTCTCCAATGACATGCAGTTTTTCGTGTTGACTCCTTTGATTATCATACCTATTTACAAGTATGTATGAGAAAAAATGTTCTCATAATGTTACTATAGTGGTTTTAGTATAATTTCTATTATCTTATCTTATTTTTGAAAAATAACATTGTTGTTTAGTTAATATCTTAACTTTAAGAGATATAATGTATTTATGAATATATATATGCCTCAATATTTTAATGAAACTTGATTTCTATCAAACAGATCTTTTTAGAACACTTCACTTTTGAAATTACGAGGTTACCATAGTAATAACAGAGGTTATAGGGGAATTATGTGAAGTAACATAAATGTTTTATTTTAGATGTCACAATCAGTAACATTATCTATGATAATAAATGAAAATATAAATTGTGAAAATGAATAAGAGAAGGAAACCTAAAAATAGCAATAAACACCTAGAGGTTATAAAGAAACTAGATATTAATCTTCTCATGAATAAAAGGTGTATTTAAAATAAAATAAAACGTGTATTTTCTCTAAGATTGCAGAAAGCGTGTAGCTTGCGAGACTGTGCTTCTTTAATTAAAAGTATCTTTTTCAAAGTGTATAATTGAACATTTAGAAACTGTAATGTTAACGAAACATTTGAAGGTTAACATCCTAAATATACCCATACTTTTTATGCGGATATTTACATAATTTGTAATAAATAATTGTTAAGATATTCTCGTTATGGAATAAAAAATGATACTTGTATTAGTTTCAATCTTTCTATGCGTTGTGAACTTTAAAATAAGTGTTAATAACCCACTGTTGAAGTCTATGCTCATATCTAAATTGAATTTATTAGTCAGTTTATTTTTAATGCAAATGAAACATAGTTAAAAGCATAGGCAAAAGAAGTACATAATCTAATTAAAAGGTTAAAAATATCCGAGTTTTATGTTTATTTCTGGAAGATGAAGTTTCGAGTTAGGGCTCTTGAACATCAGATCGAGCTTTATCTAGCTAGCTCGAACGTCATCCCCTAGAAAAAAAAACACCCAAAACTTTGCGATTTGGTAATCTATTCATTAATTTCTGCTTTTCTGTTTGGATGTTTTCTTTGATAAGAATTGTTTCAAAACCGATTTTATTAAAACATTATTAATGTTGTTTATCGTACTTGCTATTCATTGTTGTCGGAAATGTAGAACGTTTTGTGTGCTATACATGGTGTTATAACTACGTTTTAACTCGGGGTTGTTAAATTTCTCAAGGTGACTAAATCACATCATGATTTTCAGGTGGCCGATTGCAGGACTAATTATCAACTTCCTTTTCCTATTGGCAGCCACGATAACTCCAGGAGTACTTAACTCTGTGAACAATTTCCCACCTAATAATGTGTTAGGAGAAGATGTTAAGTAAGAATGTTTATTGTATTAATTAATTATTTGGATTGTCAAATAGCAAACAACAATATCTACTGACTTCATTCATTATACCATCGAAATAATTCAACGAACGATTAATACACACACGTATATACACATATATACACACACACGCACAAAAACATATATAGTTATATATACAATACATATGTAAACATGTATTTGTGTTATTATCCTAGTTCTTTCATTGTGTTCAATTACTTGTAGATGTTGATACCACTGATACATTATACAACAGGTATGATCAGTTATTGTTACATGTATATCCCATTGATACGTTATACAACAGGTATTATCAGTTACTGTTAAATGTAGATTCCACTGATACGTTATACAACAGGTATTATCAGTTACTGTTAAATGTAGATTCCACTGATACGTTATACAACAGGTATTATCAGTTACTGTTACATGTAGATCCCACTGATACGTTATACAACAGGTATTATCAGCTACGTGTAGATCCCACTGATACGTTATACAACAGGTATTATCAGCTACGTGTAGATCCCACTGATACATTTTTTCGTAAAGTAAGTAAATAATGTCCAAATTGTCCTATGCTTTTGATGAATTAAACAAAAACATGCCATCAATCTTGTACATATTATTTAGAACCAAAAGTGATATCTTGGCGTCCAACGTTCTGTATTGGGTCTTATATATGTTTTTCAAGTTAAAAAACAAACAAACAATATTAACTTCAAATAGCCCTTACTCATTCAACCAAAGTAATCTAATAAGAAATCAAAATAAGTGACGCAAATTTAAAAGCATGGGTACTTAAATAATAATCAACAGAAAAACTACGTAAAAAAGGACCCGATAGCGGAAATTAATTGTTATTTCTAATTTACCTTTTTCTGTTTGAGTGTATAATAAGTTACCTTAAACTCAATCATGATGCAATTACGTCAATTATTATTTTCTTGGAAATAAAATGTATCATAGAATATGATCAAAATTTTTCTTTGGGTCATTCACGATGTTTATAGAGCACGTAGATTAAATAAAAAATGAAAGACAAAAATAAGAAACTCTATAACCAAAGGGCTTTCGAAAGGTGGACCTTTCTTCATCAGGGGCAAACAATAAAGATACAATCCTGTTTTCAGAGTTCATTTCCATAAACTCTAAATAACATGCGTCATTGTTTGCTCCTGATAAAGCAAGGTCCTTCGAAAACGCTCGGGTTATAGAGTTTCTTATTTTTGTCTTTATAGAGAACAAATATTTTACAACTACTCTCATTTTGCAGGAGAATGATGGAGCAATTCCGAATGATTTACACCAAACCGTACTGTCGTATGGGACCTTACTGCGTAGGCATTTTTGCAGCCTACTTACTTTTGAAGCACAGGAATATAAAAATCAAACCGGTATGAAAAGTGTGATCTTTACGTTTTTATGATCAAATCAAAACTGAAGTTAACTGTTCAGTTTAGAAAAGTATTACTAGAGTTGTCAGTTATTTCATTTCAATTAGTTTTCAACTAGGTTTCGACTTTGTTTTTATAGAGACTACACTATAGTAATGTGAATTAAAGAACTGTCACGACGTTTTATAGACTACACTACAGTAATGGTAATTAAAGGACAGTCACGAAGTTTTATAGAGACTACACTATGGTAATGTGAATTAAAGGACTGTCACGATATATTATGGAGACCACACTATAGTAATGGGAATTAAAGGACAGTCACACGACAAGTTTGAGCTTTTTTTTTTCTCATAAACAGTATCTGGAATAAATTCAGAACAATAAATTAAAATTTAGCCTCAAGTGTTTCATTCCTTTAAATGTTATTTAAATAACCTACGTCATTTTTTTCTCATCAGAAGTCACGTAGGCTTAGAAATTAGGTAAGGAGGTTGTTCAAACAAAGTAAAATATGAATCCTACTGTTTTAAAGAATTAATACCACGATAAAATTATACATGTGAGAGAAATGAATATAGTTTTGTAATTTTTATTCACTTTTGTATACACTGGAATACGGTCAGTATGAGATATATTATTAGAAAATTGTTCAAACACGAATAAATTAAAAACAAAATGTTTTAATTTTTTAAAAAATTTATAAGGGTGTATTGCAGTGTTTTGTAAGTCATGGTTTCATAGGATGAATTGTTCTGACAAGACTTTGCACAATGAAGTGATAGAACATTTGTTATTCAAAGATATATTAAAAGTAAAGAAGTAGGAAAAGAGAGTGTGTGTTTATTGACAAAAACACAAATGCACAATGGGCTATCTGTGCTGCGCCACCTTAGGGATCGAACTCTAAACTTTTACGTTATAAGACCTCTAGCTTACTGCTGAGCTACGGGGAGTTGCAAGATGGAGTTAAAATTGGCCATTACATTACTTTTATTTAATACAATAGTTTTTCATTTCGTATTTAATTTTAACTCGCTGGTCTACGTGGAGCTTATTCATTTGTCCTATATTTGTATTTTTCATTAGCTTGACAGTAGATTTCAGGTTTCACTCTTAAAATTTTTAACGAATTTATTTTATAATCAATTTTATTATGTATGACTTTTTGTTGATTGTAATATCTTTCACAATATGATTTTAACTGCATGGATCTGTCATTTTAAGATCTTTCAAGTCATTGGATGGTGCTTAGCCATTGCTTGTAACCTTTCTGTAATCTATGGCATCTATCCGTGGAACAAAGGTAATCTGCCCAGTAACGAGGTGGCAGCACTGTACACAGCCACACATCGAACAGCGTGGTCCTTGGGCGTAGCATGGTTGACTGTAGCTTGCGTGACAGGACATGGTGGTACGTTTATGAATATAATATTATAAGTTATTGTTTTCTTAGTGCACAACTAAACAATGGGCTATCTGCACTCAGTCCACCACAGAGACTCGAACCTCGAATTTTAGCATTATAAGCTCGTACACTTACCGCTGACTTACTGGATGATATTACGAAAAGAAACATCACTATATTTTTAATCTATTCAAAACTTTTAGACTCTTTTTTTTTAGTATAAATTGTTTCACCAAGTTTAAAAATAACTTTCGTTATCACCAATTTTATTCAACCGCTTCTCACCTTATGCTAGTTTTCTCCCCCTTTTAAAACATTGTCACTGTAGATTTTGAAGCATTAACATTAAATGTTTTAAATAACACCACATAAAATTGACCAGTTTGAAAACTCATAAACTTCAAACAATAATCAAAGGAGACTCTTCAGTGGTTTTTTAAATCGTCTCTGCAGAAAAACGTAAAAACCACAGTTTTATTTTAGGTTGTTTAAGTTTTAAAAGCAACAAAAAAGGGCTATGTTTGCGTAGTCTTTCCTAATTTTGATCTTATAGATTCTCGAGCTTTTCTTGTTTGACCAAACAGTGAGGTTTAAATGTCATTCTTGTAGCGCACCCATGTTCTCAAAGTGCAGAACACAATTTTATTTTACACAACGGGACGCGAACCATGAATTTCAGAATCACAAATCTGGTACACTATTTTCTAGATCTCGCCCACATCTATACTAATCAACAAAAATTATTAACATAAGCATATTTTATGCTAGGAAAGAGCATACCGTTACTTATTTATAGAAGTTATGTTAACAGTACAATAATGATTTCTATGATTGCATTCTTTTATTTACTTAATTCAGGCCTGGATTATATGATATATATTTATTTGATTCAGGCAAATTGAGTTGTGTGATGTTGTTCTTGTATTTATTTCATTCAAGTTTAGATTATTTGATCTAATTCATAATTTTGGCGTTCAGATAACATTTTCGAAGTTAAAAAGGTTCTAATTGTCATAAAGATATGTGTGCTGATTAATGAAAATAACTAACTGTTGGTGTGGCTAACGTTTCGACGAGTAATTACAATGTTTAATTGCGTTTGGACGTGTAATTACAAGGTTAAATTTTGAGTCATGATTGATATGTTTCCTATACACAAAGGAAATGTACAATTTTCTGTCCACAGGTCCTGTCAACGCTCTTTTGTCTTGGAAAGCCTTCATCCCTTTAGGGCGATTAAGTTATTTAACCTATCTTTCGCACCCATTGGTAATGTATTATAACTTTGGACGCCGTAGAGGGAGCTTTTACTTTTCCCATTACAATGCGGTAAGTTTTTGTTAAATATTGAAACAATTGTTCATAGTGGCTGGAACTTTTAATTATGAATAATTGGATACGCTTTCTGTTTATTTCTACTATAATGTTTATTAGAATATCAGTACTCAATCCTTGTGATATTTCAGTGTGGTTACTACTCAGTGTCTTAAGATATAACAGTGAGATATGCCGCTCAATATATTATGGTATTCCAGGCATTCAATATCTTATGATATCTCAGTGAGACAATGCTACTCAATATCTTGTAATATCCTGGGGAGAAATACTATGGTTCCTTCAACTAACACTGATTCTGCTCAAAGCGACAAGACAGGTCCACTTAATACAGGAGATTCGACAAGCTATTTGCTAAGAAATAATTCTATGCTCTCTGACTGCTAATATCGTGATAAAGAAAGAAAGACTGAACATAAACGCGCAGTCATACTAAATAATTTTTATTTAAAATAAACACAGTTAAAATATGTACTTAAAATGCCACAACAGACAGTTGCTGTTACTGAAAAGTTACAGATGAAGATACTCTAACTCCTAGATCTCTAGCTCCACGATATCGCTCAAGACAGTGTTGAAAACTGAATAGTTCTTAACTTAGCTACTTAAATTGTTAACGTCAGATTAACCCAGAGTAACTAGCGCTATGCATTGCCTAGTAATTCCATAATAAAATACAAGAAGGTCATTATTTCTAGAAGCCACCTGATTTCCGAAGGTTACATTACAGCCACCTTATAGATATAGGGTCAAAGAAATTGAACAATAAGTAGCTAGAACAAAAGAAATTTAATGGCTTCCTTGACCAACATGTTTTGCGAAAAATGCACATACCTGGACAGATAACAGATCTTGAAGACTTCTGTATCAATATAAGGAAGAAAGAAACACATAGTATACTTATATATGACAGTAATACTAAATGCCTTATGATGTACCGGGGATTGAATGATATTACTTAATAATTTATGAAGTCTTATGAAGTTCTAAAGAACGATGCTACTTTTTTGACTGTTACTTATTCGCCACTCTTGTAATGGAAAATGAAAATATAAAAATCCAGAGTCAGGTATTAAACCAATTTCTTAGGTCCTGATGATTCAGAAAAATTGTGTATACATTCTCAAACGTGATGGCGTAATGAGATTTGGCATTATTTATCTGATAAGGTCACGCGTCATAGAGCGCGCCATAAAAGTCACTTTTAATAAGAATTAGCATAAAACTGATTGGTTATAAAGATAGGCCGTGATCTTAAGAAGATTTACATACATGAAGCTACTTCAAATTGTCCTTTATTTCCATGGAAACCATGGTACATATAGCAACAATGTGGTCTTCAATTTTCAGCCGTAATCTGTAACCATTACAAAATGATGTAAAATCAATGCAGATTCATTTCTTTTATCTTTGTTACGTAATAACCAAATAGATTAGTTTTGTAAATTTGTCAAATACATTCTGCCCCCAGTGGCTTAGCCATATTGACTGCAAACTTACATCGCTAGAAACCGGGTTCCGATACTCAGGGTTGGCAGAGCACAGATAGCTCATTGTGTAGCTTTGGGCTTAACTTCAAACAAATAACAAATATGTTTTCATATACTTGGGTGCCATGGCGACACATGATGCCGTAGTATAAGTTTATAAAAATATTTAAACTAAAGAAATGCTTGTTGATGTTTTGGAAACATTCAATAATCAATGGGTGTGGATGATATAGTGGCACATGCCATGACAACCTGTTGCCTTAGAAACCATTATAACAATCTATTACCAGAAAAACCCATCAGAAAGCGTGCTATAAACATCCTTCAATATCACACATCTTCAAAGATGTTCGAGATAGTTTAGTATTGTTTATCAGTTTTCAATTTTTGGGCCGTGGATATTACATCATAAATATGTTTTATATTTCATTTGTAATATAATACATATATTTTATCGAAGAACATAGAAAAAAAATTAACTGGCCACCGTTTCATTTCCATCTTGCGCAAACGCAAATATCTTATACACTATAAGATATGTATATATAAAGTAGAAGTTTTATCTTTGTACACGTTTTTTATTACTGTGTATATATTAGTACATGTCTCTTCATGCCTCTCTCGCTGTGAATTGAAGCTCAGTGATGGAGTGGGGAGGACAAGGACTTCTGTGTGTGGGTTTTTCATCGTGTTGTTGTTATGGCTATTATCTGCAACCTAGGCGATATATTACGTCATCTGTCTTCTTCTTCCTAATTAGAGTTAAGCTCTGGAATTTCTGAGCAGGATTCTTTTTCTACTGCAACAACATATTGTCTCCCCGAGATTATTAGTACCTGGTCTTTTTTGAGGAGCTGACCAGCCTCGTGAGTCAGATATGCTGAGTTATAGTATCCTGCTAAAACAACTTTGTTCCCAACTCGTAAAAACAACAAATTTTCAAGAGAAAACGACATGGCGTTGTTAATAGCGTAATGGTAGGCCTTACTATATTGTTTAAAACAATACCAATTATTTACAGGAAATATTGTCTGTAATATTTCTTAAGAAAATAAAAATACAAATGAGACCATATGATCCTATTATTAAGTTTAACTTTTACCTGTACTGTTATATATTTATACTAGTTAATTTCAGTTAGAAGTTTGATAACTTCATTGGTGGACCCCCATGGCTACAGGTTGTTATGGCATATTCCATAACCTTCCAGGTTTCCAAAAAATCATAATCAATTTAGAGTATATATATATTTTCAAAAAAATAGACGTAGATTATGTCATTATGCGCTGCTATGGTTACTAAATTTGTGACAATTTATCTAATACAATTTAGAAAACTATTTAGCCATTATGTGCCAAAACTACTTTCAGTTGTAATGAATTTGCGTTGAATTTACACCAGCTTGATAAAATATAGGGTGCTTATATTTATATGAAAGCGTTCCTCGGGCAATGGTCTACTAATGTGTCAAGTTTCATGCTTTTATCATAAAGGCACAACCGTAAACCATATTGATGTATGCTATACTTCAAGCTATCTGAGCTCAAGATCTAGGGGCCTTTTAGGTATTCAGTTGCAGTAGTATTTCCCTCTCATGTTAAGTGTGAAAATGATCTTAATGTATAAACGATTATTTTGTGAATTAATGTCATGAAAAAGACTTGAAGGCCGCTTGCAAATAGTATTTTGTAGAATTTTTCGTTAAAAAGAAAAAAAACACTTCTGTGAAAACAACAAAGTTTATTCTGTGTAAAAGTCTGGTGTTGTTGAATCTAATCAAAAACACCTTTGGTGTGAAAAAAAAAGTTGCGACCAAAAAAGGATTTAGCATGCAACTTAATTAAAGGAATGAAATCAAATTTGGCGGCTAAACTGGTAGCTACACTTATAGCATTGATAAGAATTTTACAGCAAATATTAATTCGATAGTTAACCAGGCTGCGATTTTGTTTAACTTGGGTCATGATGGTGGGTAAAACAAAATACGCAAAATAATGGAGTCGCACGTTGAATCCTTTTTTGGAGGCACCTGTTTTTCACACCATCACTTGCCCGTGTATTGTGTTAGTGGAGTATTGTTTATTTGTATTGTTAACTGTGAGTCATTAGATATTTATTTTTTGTATAAATCTGTGTCTTGTCTCTTTCTTTGTGACTCAACCTTCGCAACTCGTCGGGAAATATACAACAAAGTCCGAAATCCGAGAACCTCCAGTTATCAGCAGGCCTAACTTTCCTGCTTTGCTGATCATCTGCGAGAAACCACAGTATTACATGTTAATATTGTGTTAATAGAGGCATTACAGGTTAATTGTAAAATGCTGACTTATGCACTATATAGTTTTGTAGTCCAGCATGAATACCCGGTTTAAAACAATATATATTCTTAGCTAGAAAGTCAATTTCACCCATTTCACTGTGGTTTTTCATGCTCCACACAAGCTAAAGTCGATAAAGAGATGGTTAGGTGCTGTAATGATTTGAATTACGAATAATGTTTTTTATCCCTTTCTTTCCATTAGGTATATCTGTTTTTTAGCTACTTAGTTGTGTCTGTGGCAGTAGCATTTGTTGCTTCTGTGGCGGTTGAAGGGCCGTTTATGGCGTTAGAAAGGGTGATACTGCCAAGAGAGAGAAAAACGAAATCTGAGAAAACTGTGCCGATGGAGAATGAAAAAGAAAACAACGGGAGTGTTACTGTGGTGGTTACTAACGAAGAAAAATCCGGCATTGATAACCCAACTTTCACCAAAGGCAATATTAATACTTACATGTAATTTGATTTTCCTTAGAAAACAAATGGCATTAATAATTGCATTTGTAAACTGCATTTCGTTACTTAGGAAAGTTATTATAATTACTATGAGAAGAAATTAATTGTTTATATATATAAGAATGTTTGATGAGCTAGGTATTAGCACTATTAATTTAACATATTGAACACACATACACAATAAAGTTAGGTATAAAATAATATTTAGTTATTTTATTTATTATAAATTTTTGAAACAAATTTAAATTAATTATTTGTTTTGGCTATTCGTGCAACCCAATCCAACCAGTGACTATTTCCAGGTGATGATAATGAGATGTTTGAAAATTTAAATATCCCCCTTTTCTACTGCAATAGATAAGATTGAAACACTTATATTAGGATGCATTAACCGAAATGCTCAACAAAAGTTGTGACATCTTAAATGGTGTAAACCTCCATTTTGTAATACGAAGATTTTTCTTCTCGTTGATAAATCAATGGGGAAATGTTTTTAGTGTTTTGTTTCAGTCAAACACTCCCATTAAGGGAATTAAACTGTTTGGCGAGTGTAAGAAGTTAAAAAGGATTAAAATGTACGACGAGCAGAATTGTTTTTTAAGCGGAAATCTGCACAGTGGATCATCTGAGCTGTGCTTACCTAAGGGATAGAATCCCGAGTGTTAGCTTATAATGAATGATTCCGAACTTGTCTTAGTTTGCTTGGACTGTGGATCTGATAACTTACGGTTCATGTCTAATTTTCACAGAAAACAAGCCTCATTTTGGAGCATTGAGTGCGTTATAAGAGCAATGGTCTTGTTTGTTTTGTAGCAGAGCCACATTGGGCTGTTTGCTGTGTTTACCGCGAGGAACAGAACCTCGAATGTTAGCTTTTTAAGTCCGTAAAGTTACTACTGACCCACCGGGGGACGAGAAAATGATCAAATCTCACTACTGTGTCAGACAACAATAGCCCAAGAGCTTCCCTTGTAGTCTATCACCTAGAAATAAGGGATGGCTTTGCACGGATACCTCTAGTGTAGTTCTGCGTGATAATTTGAATCAAAGAAACAAATACCGCACAGTCAAATTGGGAGGTGGGGGATGATGATGCATAGAAGACATATCAACTGTGTACAAACTGAAAATTAATGAAATGAAATACACAAATTTTGTAAGTTTAACACAATCCAATAGAAAATTATGCATTGTAAGTCTTAATATTTGCAAAGCTCATTCAGTGAAACGTATTAATACGCTGTTTCGTTTTTGTTCTCACCACTAAAAGTAATCTATAGCATGTTGGAGATAAAAAATAAAAGTAGTGTTTCGTATTATTTGATCTTTTTTTGTACTTGTATATATTTTTTTGTAAATAATCAAGGAACTATAATATATAATATAGTTGTGAGGCCTAGCATAGCCTGATGGTTAGGATACTTGACTCGATTCGAAATTTGTAGGCTGCGAGTTCGAATCCCATCAACGTATATGCTCACCCTTTCAGCTATGGAAGCGTTATAATGTGTCAGTCAGTCCCACTATTTGTTCGTAAAGAGTAGCCCAAAAGTTGGCGGTGGATGGTGCTAACTATCTGCCTACCCCCTAATTTATAAATTCTAAATTAGGGACGGCTAACGTAGATAGTCCTCCAGTAGCTTTGCACGAAATTCAACAAAAGAAATAAACATGTAATACTAATTTTAGTAGGTTATATTACAATGGCTTTGAATATGCAAATCAGAATGTCACGTAACAAACACAGCCAATACAAAGTTGCGCCATGTGTCAGAACAAAATTCTAGCATTACTTGGCGTTACCTAGGTAGTAAGATGCCACTGAAATAACATTTGATTGCCTTTTTGGAAGAGTATATAATAACCCGCTTTGAGGGAGTTATTCATATTTCCAGGTCATAAAGGTCATATTCCATGATGGAACAACGGCAAGTTTACGAATTTATACCGATAAAATCAGGAGTTCGATTCCCCTCCGTGGACACAGCAGATAGTCTAATGTGGCTTTGCTGTAAAACACACACACACACACACACACACACACACATAGTGTCCAAATTGGGGATTTATAATTTTCGATACAGAGATATCCCTTATACACAGTTAATAGCATTGGAAAACAAAGGAATACATGCACCAAGGCTAGCTGGAAAGATACCTGCAAAAGTTGTGAACCAGTTCTGGTAAGTTTTGTTTGTTTATTTTGAATTTCGCGCAAAGTTACACAAGGGTTATCTACGCTAGCCGTCCTTATTTGAGCAGTGAAAGACTAGAGGGAAGGCAGCTAGTCATCACCAACCACCGGAACTCTTGGGTTACTCCTTTATCAACGAATAGTGGGATTGACCGTCACATTATAACACCCCCACGGCTAAAAGGGAAAGCATGTTTGGTGGGAGAGGGTTCGTACCCGCGACCCTCAGATTGCGAATCAAATGTCCTAACTACCTGGCCATGCCGAGCCAGTTCTGGTATGAAAAGTGCTGCATCTTGTAACAGGTGAGAATCTAATAACGCAAAGGTCAGTGGCAAAACCTGTCCAGGTGCCCCAAGAAACAGTAAGCAACATAACCAAGAAGGAATTCTGTCTGGAAAGGTGACACAATCACTAGTTAGTTTTATGACATGTCCAAGAAAGGAAGACCAACCGTAGAAAACGGATGAATGGGGAACAGCAGTCCGTGGTAACACTCGCCGAAAAAACGGATGAATGGGGAACACTCGCAGAAGCGTACGCGCTCCTTGAAAATTGTAGCAGTCTTTTGCAATTTTTTACTTGTCAATGGGTTAGAAAAATTTCAAAATTTGGTACACATCATGTCGTGAAACGTTTTCGAACGAATTCGTCATCATCATTAGATATAACACCAGAGGCAAGTTAAGAATTAGGAGAATGGATACGAAGATCAAGATGAACTCTGGTTATAGTCAAATCAATGTGCTTTTTGCCACACAGAAATACTTACTTTGAACGAAAACGAGGCCAAAGGGTATGGATTCATTAAGATAAGACTGTGAGTGACACCTCCTGTTTAACTGTCGTATACCTCAAGCAGCTGGAGAATGAAATGGATATTCATGCTATTCCATACGAACACATACTGGTTAAGTCAGAGGATACATCACCTATTCATTTCTATGTGATCGGACTGTGGAACTTGGAGCAGGGAATCCGACATCCTTTCACACAAGATTGGTAATTAAATCAAACAGGAAAGAGCGACTTGCTTCGGACATGACAATTTATGACGGAGCCTTTTGTAATGGAAACTGGCTTGCAGGGCTATTTTCAAGATGTACGGGCGCCAGATAGAGCATGACCGGACATGGCGACATGTACATAACTTACTCAACCCCCTGTTTTCATGTGATTTGGAAATACTTTTGTAACCTGAAACTTCAACGTTATTTTATTTTTTATTTTCAATTTTTTTGTGGGTAAACATAATGCAAATATTATGAGTTTAGTCCATACGATTATCTTCTAAAACCAACCAACCAAATTATTCTACTTATAGATACAAAAGTCAAAATTAAATAAATGTTAGTCAAAACGACTAGGTGATGGCATGTGAGAAGCAACATCATTTAGGCTGGTTTGTAAAGTATAGTTTTAAAGAGTAATCTTTAGATTTAAAATGAAAATGAATCGATATCTTTATAAGATATAGTAGTAGCATTATAAATATTTTAATAATTTCCGATTTGCTGGCGTTCTTAACAAAGACCCTGATCACGAAACAATAAAAAATTGGATGTAAATGTGGTTTCTACAGCTGTAAGTTGATTTCGAATAGACCTCTGGGCAAACACGTAGTTGGTACTTATAGGAAATTATACGGATACTTTAGTTCCTGGGGAGCTTTAACTTTTTTTTGTGTATTAGAGTTTCAAAGTGTAAAATGTGTGAAAGTAGGGAAAGATAAGCAAAACTAGATGTATCCGTAATGAGGGAAGCACACTTCTTTGCTTCTGGAGGACTCGCTAACTCCCCACACTGAAGAATACCTAAGGATAAATACTCTGCGCGTCGAGTAATCCGTTCTGTCCATTGCTGATCAATGTACAGGAGAAAGACGAAATACTCGTTGAGAAGATGTCGCTACGTTAATTCCGATCAAATTCACTGCAAGGGAGAATTAAGAAAACGTGCTTTAAATTATTTTATTTAAGAACTGCGTACAATTTCGGCTTCATTGCTTGATTTTTCCATACTTTTCGAGGACTAATTTTCTGATTTAACCGTTGGCATTTAACCACTCAAACAGGCGAAGATGTATACTTAGAAACACCTCACATACAGTGTCGCATAATAATGAGTTGGTCACCCAATATGTTGCCGAGGACAGTCGGTTGTTTTGTTCACGTTGTATCTGTTTTATAATGTCTTATTAGTTATAGTGTCTTTTCGCCATGTAATAGCTAGCATACAAGCCGCTTGTACTTTGTGCAGCTGATCAGCTAATTAGTGTACTCTCTCAGTTTTCTAGCATTTGCACCTTTAAAGTTTTGGCATCATTAATATTTTTAGCTGAGATTTATCACACACACACACACATTGTTTGCCTACAGTTGCTCGAAACTTTATATTTGTTTGTTATTTACTGGGGTTAATTGAAAGAAATTTTATACGAGTTTTTACAATTGATATTTCCCAATTGAAAATAATGTTCAAAAAACTTAACTGAAGACAGTTTTTTTTCTAACAGTATATCCAGTGAGGTAGTATTTTGACAATACAGTCAGTTGTTATCCACATCTTTTTGTTATGTGAAACAATTTAAATAAATTATACTACTACTCGAGAGGAGAAATTACACTATAGATCACTCTTTATGTATGACGATATTGTAAGTTGATTTTGAATATCAGCACATCATAACTAAGTTTGATTATAAGGATTGTTACGTATTACAATTTCGAATGGTCTGAAACCGAGCTAAATGATAATTTAAATTCAGTAGTTAAATAAATGCCGATAAGTATCCAATTTATGATATTTGCTAACAAGATTGATACACACAGTTTCTTTTTTAATAGAAATATATTTTA